AACATTTTTCATCAACATGGAGGATCACGAGATACAAGTTTTAAATAGAGATATTTATCTTACGATAATTTTACGATTAAAAAACTTGACTGTCTTCTTATAATTGTAAATTAAATAACAAATTTTTCGAAATAAGTAGAAAGCAAGATTTAATAATTAATGATATATTTTTTAATGAGATTATTAAAATTTATTAAAAAATTTATTATTTAAATCATTTGATTAATCACAGTAATTATTTTATGAAATAGTATATATTTTAATATAGTTATTAAAAATCAGCGAATACATAGAATTCATAACAGGTGAATAAAATGTTATAAATACATTAGCTTAATAACGTAGAGAAAAAAATCAGAAAAGATAATAATTTGATTTGAATCAACAGGAACTTACCCCGATTTGATAAAGGACTCTAGGCGGTTGATGTATTGGTCGATGTTTCCTCTTCTGATCGATCAAATCAAGTTCGATCGCTGTATCTTCAAACTCTTGCAACTTTGCAAGATACTTTCCATCATCGAAAGACAAATATTCATTGAGAAATTTTTGTCCAGTTTCGTCGAGTTCTACGCCAAGGAGGCTACCTTTGCTCTCACGAACGAGCAATTGCCCGAACATTGCTAACAAAAAACAGATCAAATCGGCCATTCTTTCGCGCACGCGCGATGCTTCCTGGCCTTTTCCTTCCTTCTTTTCCCTCTTTCTTCCTTCCTTTTTTCTCTTCCCCGCGTCCAACAAAATAATATATTTGATATATATAAGTTTTTACTGATCGGTGATCGCAACGATCACCGATCATCGAACAAATGCCTCTATCGCTATGTAAACAATGTAATCGTCAATTTTCGAGCAAAATCGAAGGTGAAAAGTCAAAATAATATCGTCAATAGGATACATTTGCACATAAATATATCACGATTCATTGTAACCATTTATTTTCCATTTTTCATTGATTGACGCATAATACAAATATGTTGAAATCTATCTTGATTTCTTATATATCGTTTCAATGAACTCGATTCGAGATATTGTATTTCTACCGCTATTAGTAATAGCTTAACAAAAATGCATAAATGTTATTAATCTTTTTTTCATAATTATTCCTCGCACAAATTGTTGTGTCGTCTTCCCTTTATCACCGCTTGGCATAATAAAATATCTTTATATTCAAACGTATGAGCGTTATCAAAAAAGAGAAATATCAATTTTCAAACGAACGAAACTGAACAATTAAAAATTGATTCGATCCTCTCCGTGCGTGAAGTCGAATTTTCCAGTGTTACAATTTTCTTAGCGTTATCGCTAAGAATGACAGAAAACACATTCACCGACCGGTGAAACAACAGCAACGTGGCTAATGTGTTGCACTCTACGCTCTCGAAAACAGTCACAGTACACTGAATATCGTTAATACGCGATATACCTCGCGTTATTTCTCGTGTCCTTGCGTTCTCCACGTTCTATCGTCTTTATCGTATACGTCCTACGTACCCAACATCCTACGTTCGAACGGTCTTACGATTAATGTTTTGCAACACGATTCGATTTAGTCCGAGGTTAAACGACTCGCAACATTCGCGGTGCGTCGTGCCTATACTATTCGTTCGACTGAACTTCTAACAGCTAGAGGCAAAACATGAATGAGTCTCCCTTCTCTGCTCTTCTTTTTCCACTCCATTCCACTTTACTCCACTCCATTCCACTCCGTTCCATACTACCCCACTCCACCCCACTCCATTCTACTCTCCACTCCACTCTACTACACTCTACTCCACTCCACTCCACTCCACTCCACTCCACCCCATGCTTCGTTCCATTCCACTCCACCACACCACACCATACCACACCGCATCACTCTATTCCATTCCAATCTACTCCACTCCACTCCACTTCGACACAGCTCTCTTCTTTCCTTCCATCCTTCTCCTTCGGATGCAACCACCGAGTCCAAGCCACACTCGTTACTTAGACTTTTCTTGCTCTGCTTTGCCATCTCTCTCTTTTACTTTTATTTTTCTCCTTTTTTCGTCCTCCTTTATCCTATTCGCCTTTCTTTTCCCCTCATACTTCCTCTTGCTCGTACCTTTTTTTTTTTTTTTGTCAACTTTTATCTCCTCTCCTTTACGTTTCTTTTATCCTTTTGTCCCTTTGCTTCCGCCTTCGTTTATTTTTTAATAGCTCAACTCGCCTTTATATCTGTCTATACAAGTTCCTTGTCCTCGCTCGATGGTAATTTTTACCGTGCAAAAAAAAAAAAAAAAGAAAACAGCGTTTATTTTATTATCCCAGAGATAGCTTCGAAGAATTTTTAATTCTCGAAATGCGTTGTAATGCAATGATGAAATTAACTTGTTGCTCGATCGTTTGTATGGAACGCAGGAACGCGATGGTAACCCAAGAATAGGAAAAAAAAGCCCCGTGTCACGTGTAACATTTACCAAGCATAGTTGGAAATATCTCGGGATAGGGGCAACGCGAAACACATAAGTAATCGGTACAATCTACTACGTAACGCGTAAAAATGTGTGTGGGTGGCGGTTGGTCGACGCGGTTCTCAAGATCATCTCATCGCGAGATCGCGTTTGTATTCGAAAGATATTACTGTCGAATCAAACTTACGTGATTACGTTGGTTAAGCGGGATCAAAATGGATTGTACCGCACGTTTTTCAACGTATTTTTCGTTTCAAAGTATTCATTCAAATTTCGAAGATGATTGGCAATTATAACAATTTCAATAGCAGATTCGTATCTAATCGCCATAGCAACCGCTCATTAAAATTACCGTCGTGTACGAACGATTGTTGTGTGCTGCCATTATAATATAAGTGACCGATTGTGTAACATACAGGCAATAATAAATCTAATTACGTGACAATAATAATAAAAATTATTTATATATGCTAAATATTTACGCATTTGCCAAAGAATAAACAATATTCTTTTTGTGTATATATATATATATATATATATGAAATAAATAAAATAATAAAATATATATATATAAAATATATAACAATATATTTTAATTATATATTAAATATTATATTTTAAATATATAGTAAAAAATATATATATATGTAAAATATATAATATATAAAATAATATATAAAATGTATAATAATAAAATATATACATATATATAAAACATATTGATAGGTAAAATCTCTCTTAAATCTCCTGTATCTTAAATTTCATATTATTTTATCACTGTAATTAAAATTAATGTTTAAAGTTAGAAAATATACGATCCCAAATCATATAAGATTTTCCAAAGAGCGATCGTGAGTTTGAGGATCGCTGTTTCATTGATTGAGGCCGCGATCCATTCACTCATACTTTTTCTTTTTTCCTTCACAGTTCTTCACTCTTCTCTCATTTGTTTCCTCTGTCTACCTGAATTGCTGTACTCTTACTCTCCTTTATTTATAAAAACGAATAGGAAGAGAGATAAGATTGTGTTCCGATTCTATCTGATTTTATCTGGTCGCATCAGATCGAAGAATAGAACAGAATATAAGTCAAAGAAAATGAG